GGTCTGCCTGAGGTATGCTGTACCCGGTCTGTCTGAGGAGAACTGTACCCGGTCTGCCTGAGGTATGCTGTACCCGGTCTGCCGGAGGTATGCTGTACCCGGTCTGTCTGAGGAGTGCTGTACCCGGTCTGCCTGAGGTGTGCTGTACGCGGTCTGCCTAAGGTATGCTGTACCCGGTCTGTCTGAGGAGTGCTGTACCCGGTCTGCCTGAGGTGCTGTACCCGGTCTGCCTGAGGTATGCTGTACCCGGTCTGCCTGGGGTGTGCTGTACCCGGTCTGCCTGAGGTGTGCTGTACCCGGTCTGCCTGAGGTATGCTGTACCCGGTATGCCTGAGGTGTGCTGTACGCGGTCTGCCTGAGGTGTGCTGTACCCGGTCTGCCTGAGGTATGCTGTACCCGGTCTGTCTGAGGAGTGCTGTACCCGGTCTGCCCGCAGTGAAGCAGCTGGCCGTCAGCCTGCCGAGGAGACAGGTCTGGTGCAGGAGCTGCAGACGACGCTGGAGGCAGAGCACCAGACCAAGCTGACGCTGACTGAGCGGCTGAGCGAGACGCGCACGGCCAGCGCGCGCTCGAGACGGAGCTGACTTTACAGGGGCGGCGCGCGGTGCCGACGAGCGGCCCGACAACCCGGTCACGCGGACACCCGGCTGCGCGAGTTCGCCGCCGCCAAGACGGCTACCCAGCAGCTCGTGGAGCGCGAGCAAAGATAATGCAGGCAAGTGGGGGGCCTACAGAGGGCGCTGATTGCACCAGTTGGCAACGGAGATAATAAACACAAAGGCATGTGCTAAAGTCATCAGAGTGACGTAAGCATATGCATAATATCTTGTTCCGTACCCAGTGCGATCTGCACCATTCTGCTTGACATTCTTCACTACTGTTTTCGGAGCTTTGGCTGCTCCTTAAACACATTTCGATAATACTCTTTTCTTCGTCTTCATTCACGTCGAACGTCGTACCTCTACCGATGTAAGCCGACTGTTTTTGTGTCGATCGCAGAGCTGATCCGCACAACCGACGCCGGCTGCAAGGACCTTGGCGGTGTGATGACGTGCCTAGCCAAGCTGGACGGGGCCGGCGACCAGATTGTCGAGCTGTGTGCCGACCCGGGCAACCAGAGCGCCGTCAAGCGGCTGGCGGAGGAACTGCTGGCAGAGCAACAGCGCTGTCGCACATGCTGGCTTGTCTGGAGTGCGAGCGCGGCCGCGCGGGTCAGCTGTCGCAAGAGCTGCCAGGGCGCGCCCAGGCCCAGGCCGACGGCAGACATCAGAGCAGCTGGGACAGCGTGTCTCCGAGCTGAGCAGCGCTCAGAGAAGCTCAGGAAACAGGTACGCCGCTCCCACCACACCGATTTCTGGGCATTCAGACCACCTCGATAATACCTGCCGGGCTTACTTCTTTTTGGCATGTTTAAGTATTAATGAGACCGTGGCGAGATATCTCCTGGTCTGACATATCTCTTTTGATTCCACTCATAGAAGACCTTTTTGTTCGATGAAACCCGCGTTTTTTTTGGCCCCCAAGTAAGTCACTTCCGACGTCCACACTTTTATTCATCCTCTCTCCACACACACACAACTCACACACACACATCAGTTCATCAGCTGCAAAATGCCCTCTGACTCCTTGCGGCCGTGCAGACAGAGCGGCGTGCGCTGAGGCGCAGGAGCGGGCACGACCGACCAGGCGCCGCGGAGGCCCAAGTGAATCGGCCTGCTGCAGGAGTTGCGGCAGGTGCAGGGGCCCGCCAGAAGGCAGAATATACGTGCAGAAGCCGGCGGCTGAGCTCAGCCAGCTGACGGCAGACTTGCGCTCTCGTGGCCGCCGACGCTCTCACCACGGTCAGCCGCGCGAGCACGCCGCCTTCCTCGGGCGGACACCTGCGGGCCAGGGAGGAGACGCCTGGCGCGATCGCATGAGGGATCGGATGGGGCAATAGATACGGGTGCACTTGGGTTCAAAGAAGAGCCGCCATACATGGGTTTATTAGGATTGGTGCTTAGCTCGTGGGAAGAAAACTGAACTGTTGTCACTCTAAGTTCACATTTGCGATTGTAAAGTGCCGCAGTAAGCATCTCAGATGATAGAACTGTTCAGTACTGCGATGGCAGATGATAGAACTGTACCATCTGCGACCGCCGTTTTTTTCATGCATCGTCATAACTAACATCCTACAGCAGACGAGATTTCATCACCTAAATGACATTCAGTGGCGTGTGTTCGACGTCCGGCTCGGCACGTGACTCTGGGCGCTCTGTGACGCAGGTCGCCGCCATCGTGGACACGAACGTGGACGCCGAGCGGATCCGGACCCGGATCATTCAGCTGGGTACCGAGCTGGCTGGCCGGGACGTGTCACCTCCCTCCGCTCCTGCCCCCGCCGCCGCTCCCGCCATCGCTCCCCCCGCCCCTGCCGCGCCGGCCCCGGTTGCCGCCATCGCCGCTCCGGCCCCGGTTGCGCCCGCCCCCCAGCCTCCTGCGCCGTCGGCGGGTGACGAGGAGGCCCGCGCCCGCTGGCAGGCGCAGCTGGAGTCGGAGCGCGCCCAGTGGGGGCAGGAGCGCTCGCTGCTGGAGGCGCACATCGCGCAGCTGGATGCCGAGCTAGAGCGGCTGCGACTCTCGGAGCGGCCGGCCGTGCTGCCACTGCAGGGCGCCGGGGACGATGGTCGCGTCCAGGAGGCGCACAGCCGCTACCTGCGCGCCGAGAGCTACCGACGCGCACTCTGCTGGCAGAAGCGTTACCTCATGATCCTGCTAGGCGGCTACCAGGAGACAGAGACGATGACGCTGGAGAAGATGGTCCAGTTGACGGGCGGCTGCTTCCTGCCCGACTACCGCCGCCTATTGCAGCCCATCCGCAAATTCCGCGCCGCCGTCTATGCCGTGGTTGGCATTGCTCCGCATTGCAGTACATGGTCAACAGATGGCGCTCAGGTCTGTGTGCAGCCGCGGCAGCTTGTACGACAATGAATGGGTGATAGTTCTCCTACGACTGTGAGACATGTATCGAATGAACTGTCGTGAGCATTGCCATATTAATTGGCATCGGAACGTTAGATTACAAGATACTGTTTTATGCTGACTGAATTGTCAGCATTTTTGGTGAGTTTAGATAGCGACCTGTTCCTACATTTGGATTTAACGTTGCCCTGGCACATGTAGTTCAGCGTTCGTGCGTAGTCTCAATGTTTCCTGTTCGCTCAGGGCAGCGCGTGGCGGGTGGAGGGAGGCGAAGCCAGCCCAAGCCCCAGGCTCGCGGTCGACCCATGCCTGGTCCCTCTAAACAACGCTCAACCAGTCGCTCAACGAGCCGCAACCAGCCACCCCGTCAAAACCCAAGGCCACGCCGGCAGCGCGCAGTCCACCGTCGAGGAAAAAGTCCTCGAAGGCCGTCCTGACCAGAACGCGCCGAGCCGGAAGCAGCCGTCACCAACACGAGAGCGGCCGTCACCAACACGGGAGCGGCCCGAGGGCCGTTGAGGAGCCTCTCGGTGCCAGCGGCAGCGGCAGCCGGAGCCCTACCGCCGTCCTGGGAGAGGACGTCCACGTCGAGTTTAACGTGGAGGACGAGGTGACGCCCGCGCGGCCAGAGCAGCGTCGATACCGACGCGCTGCTGGACGAGGGCATTGACGAGGACACGGCAGAGGAGGACGACGAGACACTGGGCAGCGTTAGCCGTAGCAGCGCAGTCCTGCTACAGGAGGGCGACTGCTGTGAGGACTCACTGACGCCCACGCTGCCCCTCTCGATTACGTCACTTTCCTCCTCGGACTCGGACTGCACCAAGTTCTTCACAGACTACGGCAACCATGGCTGCCCGACATGGAGATGAGTGTGGCACCACTGGCTCCATGCCTAACTTGATTGGATTTGACGTGAGGTGAGCGCATTAAAGGCGCAGATATGAACATTATCCTTTTATCCAAGGTCGGTTGGCGTAATGTGCCTTTATCTTAGTTAAGCATAATTTTGGCTCTATGGTGCTATCCCTTTCCTCTATGGGAAATCCTTTAACGTAATTTTTGTACAGAATATTGAGAACAGACGTGCAAAAGTGCACTAAAGCAAACACCGACCTATAGGAGTGTAAATGCGTTTCAGGAACACCATTGGCTGCCACTGAAATATTTTTTTCTTTACGGTCTTCACGATCTTTTTGTGCTCATACAGACTGTTCGATTTCAGGAGCGTAGCGACCCTGAGTGATGTGGAGTCGGAGGAGTTGGAACACTATCTGGCGCAGTTTGACTCTTTGCTGACATGCCAAGGCTACTCGTCCCAGCTCTCGAGCTCGACCGCCACGTCACACACCCCGAGAAACAACCGATGACTCACTCGGCTGCCAGTCGCAGAGGAGAGTCCAAATTCTCCCGGCAGCGGATGTTGGTCGATCTCTATCATTTCTATACTTTTTACATGCGATTCGGAAAACTTTGTCTTACGTGTGTCCAGCTGTGCGCGAAAAATGTTCGTCAGAATTGGCTGCGCAGGCGTTTGTCGTGGAGCTTTAGTCTTACGTCTCATCCTATGGTTCAATGTTCGGCGTTATACATCGCACGGATCGCAAAAGTTCAATGAATAACATTACGTAATCTACGTCAGCGTACTACTAAATGGACTAAATGGTCGGCTTTTGAAAACAAGACCGCAGCTTATAAACACTTACCAGAGCTGTGTTGGAAATTTTTCACGAGCGTGCAATACAAAGGAGACATAACGCCAGGCCAGTGGAGCTGATACACAGAGCGTTTTTAATCTGCGTCCGGCCGAGGGCCTGAGACAACCGTGTCCGGCCGGGGGTCTGAGACAACCGTGTCCGGCCGGGGGTCTGAGACAACCGTGCCCGGCCGGGGGTCTGAGACAACCGTGCGCTGCCGGGGGTCTGAGACAACCGTGTCCGGCCGGGGGTAGGGGGTGGGGTGGGGGGGCAGCAGTTGGCATTCCCCTAGGCTCTCCAACTTCCAGTCGTATGAGAAAAAAGATACTGATGGTTTCGCCAAATCACGATAATGCACACAATCTTTTTTGGCTTTAGGTCGTACGTGAGGTCAACAGGTTCCGAAGGGCAAAAAGGACGTTCTGTTATATGCAATTAAAACACATGTAGCACGTTAACACGGATTTGGAGGGCACATAAGTAAAAATTGAGGCCGTTGATGGTCCATTTCGACTATTTCTTTTCCCAAAAGGGTCAGGCCAGGTCAGGTCACTGTTCGAAGTTGGTCTTCTAGTAGCCTTCAGAAGCGATATCTTTCGTTTTTTCACAGAGTGCTTCTCCGAATGCGTTTATATCATTAGATGTAGCTGTAGAACAAAATCATATCCAAGAGACAATACCATCCTAGTCTGACCTAGGGATTAGCGGAGGGCAACTCAGGTCAAATTTATAAGCCATCCAAGTTGACGGATTTAAAGTGCCAACGGGGTCTAAGTGACCAGTGCCATGTGGTCAGAGATAGTGTGTTGTTCATCTATAGGTACTCAATATCGCATAGCCGCTTTATACCCAATAGCATAGCCCATGCGGCGTTTGGTAATGTACACGCATTTGAATGCATATTCATATGCATAATGTATTTTGGGGAATGCGACGTCAGATAGACAAGAAGGGAATTTAACTCTCTGATACAAGAGCAGCCATGAAAAGGTGAGTGGTAGTGATTGGCGTAGTTGAAGCTTGCGTTCCCCAGTAAATTAGCAGCGTTAGAGAAATGACAAAATATAGAAAACAGGAACGAAGCGTCTCGCGCCTCGAACATGAACCTTGCATTACAAGTAGGAGTTCAGTGAAGGGATGGGTCACCCCAGTAGCAAGTAGCAGTGAAGGGTCAATAGAACTTGGGCACAAAAATTGACTGAGGGTTTAAAATGAGAAGGGAAGAAATTTAAATGAGATGGGAGTGGAACGGGGCGCTCAACGTGCGGACGGGATCGATGGTAATACCAGAGGAGGAGCCACACTTAATACATCATTTTAAAGGTAGTGAGTGGTGGTTGGCGGTAAGCCAGAGTTAGTGTGAGGCCTGCGGTAGTTTTGAGCGTTCCTATTTGTAATGTTTTTAGTCGCTTACATTGTTTAATACTTTCGACAGAAATCGTGTGTTTGATTTCGTATCTAACTGTATAGGCATGAGGCAATAACCTTTTCTATACTGCTTCGACATGATGCACTGAACCCAAATCCGGAAGAGCCACTTGATGGACGGATTGTAGAATGAATACAGACATGCATACACATATAGTTAATACATGCATGCCTGCATGCATAGTTCACATGTACACGAAAAAAGAAGGCAAAGTTAAAGGCCTTCCCGTCAGCCCTCACACTGAACGCTCCGTCAGCACGCATGACGTCACGCATTCCAGCTGACAATCGTGCTTACGACACATCGAACAGTACCCAGGGCCAACGACGAAAAGTGGGAACGAGCAGACGCAGAGGGATAGGAAAAAGCATGTAAATATGGTATCATTTCCATGCTACCACATTTTGCGGCCATCACATCTGCGCCATAATTGCCTTCCGTCCGGCTGACGAACACGAGAGGAATTTATGTGAAAAAACTGCTAGGGCCTTGGAAAGACTGCGGGGTTTGTACCATTGCGGGCGGATGTCGAGAGACTATATTGTACGTGGTTGGTGCCGTAAATCAAGCATCTAAATTCAGGTTCACTACATACACTTGGGCGTCATATTTTGGTCGGAGTCTTAATAATTGGCAATAATTTTTTACAGTAGATCATGTAAGATAATTTTGGTTTGACGATGTTAAAAAACACTTCCTTCGAACACCGGACACCTGTCAATCCTGCAGTGTCTATGTACCTGATGGCATCCTACCATTTGAATGTTCTTAAGCTGCACTAGGCTACATTTACAGACTCATGGGTGGCCACGGGTTGTTGCCACCTGTACAGCCAAGGATACATGACTAGATATGTTTAGGGCGAAAGAGACATCCATGCATTTTGGAACATGCACACCACTTATCTGCCAGTCTTGGGCTCAACACATGGTTGCTGTCAATTTAGCACAGAGAGCCAATTTTCCATGTAATGAAAATGTTGCTGAGGTATTTTTAATCAGTAACTCCCAAGCATTTTTCATTATTTGAAAGTTACAAATTCAGCATGATTTGGCTTGGCTTGAGTTAAAGCAAGCATGTGTCAGGTTCAGTATGTTCATATCATCTAGGTGTGTGGCACAGTGGATGCATTTTTGGCAGGCTTGCTGCATATGCCTTGGTGTGATTTTAACTATAGTCTAAATAGATTTCAGTAATTACTCCATATGAGATGTTTGTAATGCCTGACATTATACTAGGCTCATGTCTCATTTTTATCAGGAGGGATTTAACACTGTATAAATAAGGACTATCAACATATGTTGGTGCTTGTTTGAGGTGCTGTAGGGTGAAATGATTTTGTGCAAGTAAAATGGTGCTCCCATGTGCAAGCAACTAATGTGAATATGCATGTACTCATGACCAGTGTGAATGCCAATTCATGTTAGACATAAACACACATTTTGTAATACATGAGAATCCTTATATGTATGGCATGATATTTGGCATGATGTTGAAACCTAATTCTATACTACCACAGGTTAAATTCATTTAATCTTTAAAGCTGTCAGAGCTCAAGCACATTGTAGCAAAGAAAATCTCTTGCCAAGGCATGCCATGGTTTGTTGAATTACCTGGATCTAGGGATCAACCTGGTGCATCCACAATAACACAAACTGTGTGATCTGTTTTCCATGCTAACTTGTGTGCTTCCCATTATCCTAGTTATGCCTGATTCCCTTCAGGAGAATTAGCTCTGATGCTTACCCACAACATAGGTATTCAAGGGGAATGTTCCGCATCTGAAGAATTTTAGGCAAACATCATATTGGGCGCCGAATGACCACCGCAGTTGGGCACAGTAAACTCCAATAAACAACAAAAAAAGCAACCATCATATATTGTGAAACAAGCTAACTTATAACTGTAAGCATACTTTATAGGGGAAAACACTGCTCTGGAAAATGCTATTGCTCTGTTTAGTAAACGTGCTTCTCAATACAGTGCTATTTAATTTCAAGATCATACCTTGCATTACTTGATAGCATTGATTGCATTAGCATTGAGCATTGATTGATAGCCAATAGAGAGTTGTATCTGGAAGTCATGCTCAGAAACATGAATTATGAATGAACCAATGATCATATTTGTCTTGGTCTTTATTGCTACATTGCCAAAAGATGGGATTTGAATAACATTATCATTGTCTCACAGATGCTCAGGTGACTTTTACATAGTCCTCACAAAATTGTTTACACATGGTTGCAGGCATGTAGCTTCCAAGTTAAGGGGTTTGCTAGGTCTTAAAAAGGACGGGGCTGCAAACTGTGCCAAATGATCTTCAAGTTAGCTATTTCAGTTCAAAAGCCCATGCAAGTGTTGAACACTCACTGTAAGTTCAGCCAAGACCCCAAGGTACTTAGCTCAGATTTATAACCCAGCCCAGCTCTGACACAGCATGTAATCCATTGTTTGAAGTGATTCTGATGAAGTCTGTGTGTAAGACATTTAGGAGATAACCTTTTCAAGGTCATAATGATCTGATGTGAATTGCTGAGCAACATGTGTAATATGCTATTTTTATTTTAGATGTTTTCTAGGTCATAAAAGTAAAAGTGTTCAAAAAGTTGGAAATATGGTGTTACTTGCTATGGAGCCTTCATTTTTTTTGTGAGGCAATTAATATCATGCATGCAATAATGATTGGTTCTTGGTAGCAATTGTTTTTCTTTGATTTTATATATTTATTTATGACAATACCATGTGCATAACTGCCCAATCTTTGTAATTATTTTAGGTCTTCAAGTAACAGTCCCTGCTTTTACTTTTTCCAGATCCAAAATTAGTTTTCCAAAATTGGTTTTCCAAAATTAGATCCAAAATCGGTTTTCACCAATTTTGAAACCAACTTAATACAATGCATTAAAATAAGACAAATATTTATCAAAAATGCCATTACATTATTCTCATATGTTCCACATACATTTTCTTACACAGAGCGGTCAATACAAAACAGAAGATAACAGTATTTCTTAGAAAGCAGTACCCTGTTGAATAAACCACCATTATGAAATCTCATGAACATTCTCATCTCATGAACATGAACATGAGTACATTCATGAAATCTCATGAACTATGAAATCTCTTTCAGGCTGCTACAAACAGGTTTCAACTGTGACATAGAGTGCCACATTCCAATTATTTAAGGGGTATGGTCTACCTATGGTCTGCTTTTGCATATATAAACAGTTATGTACTGAGGCCCTCTTTGTGCTGTCATACAACTATCATGTGACTTCTATTCTCTAACATGATGGGAGAATGTTGTTGATTGCACATTCATATGTGAACTTTGGCTCAAAAGTTGAATGATGCGTTGTGAAATATTGATGTTTGTGTTTTCCTGTGGTGAGCATTTGTCTATCCTGGGGAATTGTGGGCCTTAATGTGGCATGTACCACACGTGTTTAGCAAGTATAAAATGGGAACACTATAAATTATCAACAAGCCTAGTACCTTTGGCAGAACATATTTACATGTTTGTTGGAAACATTGATAAGTTTTTCAAGTAGGCAAGGTGAGGTAGGTGGTTTTTTGTCAGTTTGGGGTTATTTTAAAGATGGTGTTGTAATTACATCGCACCTTTTATTGGAAATTGCTATTGTAACTTTCCC